CCTGCGTTTGGACCCAGAGAAAATGACCCAGCTGATGAGTATGGGCTTCTCTGAGCAGGAGACTCGGCTGGGTCTGAGAGCCTGCAGAGGCAATGTGGAGGAGGCAGCGCTGCATATCAGCCAGAGAAGAAATGTCAGATGAAAATTTGCTTACAAACACACACACCACACACTTAATACATAAACAAAGTGAGCACACACTTCCAGCTGTTCTATTCCTGACTAGTTAAATTCAAAACAAAGCAACTATGATGTTTACTAAAATAGTCATTAACAAAATCTTCAAGGTGCTGACTATTGGAGCTAGAGCTTCAGTTCGTGCCATAAATATCCAACCTCTGTCAAACAACTCTACCACAATGCTAATTTCCGCTAGTGCCCCTATGGTATTTTAGTAGTATGCTGCTGCTAAACTAATGGTGAGTCACATGAATATTTTTTTGGCTGTTCTAGGCTAAACATGGACATGTGAAGCTTGTAAAGGACACTTCACGTTTTGTGTGAAGCTTGTAACAGACAACATATATTTTGCCTTGTATATGGCAGTTTTACAGGGACTCCTTCAGTGAAGAGCCCTTCCATAGAGCTGCCTCTATTTCTAACATCTAAAAAGCATTGGTCATGCTACTACTATCATTCAATAAGTGACATATCTAGGACTTCCAGAGAACCTTGAATGGTGTTTTTGATGGTTGGTCCCATCCATTCTAAATCGAAACATGATTTGTTGATTCTGCTGTCAGTTCAAGTCAAGTCATGTCAAATTTATTTATATAGCGCCTTTTACAACAGATGTTGTCACAAGCAACTTTACAGAGAATCCGGGTCCACGCCCCCAGTGAGCAAGCCTTGGCGACAGTGGCAAGGAAAAACTCCCTCAACAGGGGGAAGAAACCTTGAGAGGAACCAGGGGAATCCATCCTCCTCTGGTTCCTAATTGTGTTAGTAGTTAATCTGATATGTTAGGCCTTCAGTTCAGCTCCTGAAGTCCTGACTAATGGGAGAGCTCACTTGGCTGTGTCTAGATACCGCGGAGAACAAAAAATCCTGGTTAGGACAGTTTTCTGTTGGACACTTCAAAAATGTGATCCTTTTGCTTCCAACAAAACCGTAATAAAATTAAAGCAAATGAAAATAAAAATTTCATAAACAAGTAAGAAATACAAGAGTTTAAACAAAGCATGATTCTATTAAATAAAAATGAACTAAATATTACAAACATGTATTTTTTTATTTCATAGAAATTAAAGTCTCAGGGTTCTTCACTGCTAAGATATTAGTTAGGAAAACCATCAGTGATTAAAATTACATTTAACTGATCAAAATTCTTGTGTGCTCCTGTACTGCTGTAGGAGCGGGAAGAGATAAAACAAAAGGAGAGAGAGAGAAGGAGGCGACGTCTGGAGAGCATCAACACCCTGGTTGAACTTGGCTACGGCAAGAAAGCGGCAGCTAAGGCCCTGCACAAGACTGGTGGAGATGTAGATGAGGCCTATAGGGTTAGAGATGCCATTCACTTTACATCTTCAGTATAGCAATCTTGTCATTACAAACCTCCACCAACTTCGCTGCCTGGTTCTTATCACTAAATACTTAATTTCTCTTCATTTGTTGCCAATGCCTGAGTCATGTTTAGTCCTTTTTAGAATATGTACACTCTTTTTACATGATGCTACTGCTGGTCCCATGTAGATCAACATTCTTCTTGCTTGTAGCTTCTTTTAGATTCAAGTGAAGCCAGCAGTTCAGGGATGTATCAGCCAGACACAGACAGACAGACCAAAGTGGATCAGGTAAGCAGCACCCCAGGGAGAGAAGATCCAGTAGAAGCTCATGTTCCGTAATGGATGCTGTAAATCTTTGCGCCCTCCGATTCTCTGAACTGCCTGCTATCATATTCACTATGGTTTATATACTAGCAAATACAGCTGGTGTTTGAAATGTAATACTTTTATAGTATACCACAGAGTATCATTCAACATATAAACATAAATTTTGATACTTAAGCAGTCAGTCTTACCAGCATTCGTGAGCGTATAGGCATGCCTGTTCCAAGACGTAGTTTTTTTTTGTTTTTTTTGTTTTTTGATTTTGGAACAATCATTGTAAAAATACAGCAAAAACAAGATGTTGATGTGACACCTGAAATTATGGCACTGTTGTTTCGTGTTGCCTCAACCAAATGATAAAAAAATATCAAGGGGTTTTAAAAATAAATAAATAATGATATGCAATAAAAAGAGTGCATCTTTTTATAAAACTGGATATTTCACGACAGTAATATTTATTTAAAAAGTTATGTATTTCTGTGGTAGAAAAAATGTATTTAAAAAGGTATTATTCAGATTCAATATCAAACCAAATGTAATGATATATAATTTGTTTTAATAGTTCCCAGCCTTGTTGCAAAAATACATCTTACATTGTTTGTATGTTTATTTATCTATAACTGGACATATAGGTGGCCTACCTCGGCTTCCAGAGGGAAGCAGTGGAAGCAGCGCTGAGACTGGTGGGGGATGATGTTGCTCAGGCTACTCAGATTCTGCTGGATAACCAGGGGCAGGTTCCCCCAGAGTTGCTGTCTCCCTCACCCCCATCTTCTTCATCAGAGGAGCCCAGCACCTCCGACTCCACAGGTCAGGAACTAGCGAGCATATATCATTGATTTATTGATTGGATGACTTGTTTGGCATCGATGACTTACTTGGCATATAATCCCAAAGGGATAAAGTGTAATGTATAGGTCTTTAAATCTGGACCCTGAACCAAGTTTCTGGTCTTGAAGTTCGTGTTCACTGGTAGGTAACTGTTTTAATGATGTAACTGATTGGCCAATAAGCATCATGCCTTCCAGTGGTTACAAAATCCAGCAGTGGAAACTGGATTCATGGTCCAGACTGGGAGACGACTACTCCAGTATGTTAAGTAAATAGGAAGTCTGGTGAGTCCTTTAGAATGATGTGATGCTCAGTTGGCATTACATTATTTCTAAAATTCCTGTATCTTTTAAAACGCCAGGAACATAATTGTAGTTGAGGTATTTAGTATTAGGAATTAGCATTAAAAAAAGTTTCAGTGTGCAATATTAGGCCTCGTTTACACCTGGCAGTAACATGCATCCATAAGCGGCCAGTGCCAAGTATGTGTAAATGGGGTTCAAAGCGCCTCAGAGATGGATTTTAATCCAGTCACTGTAACCACCTTTAGGCGTGAACACTAAAGCGTTCCAGTGTGTCTTCAACAGTGTCAATTGACTGCCTGCTCAACTGTGATCACAGCAGAGACAAAAGCAGCTGCATAGCTTATTTTTTCTTCTCTCCTGTTTGTTCACATTGCATTAGCAATCCATGTAATCTAAACGTCTGTAACAGCCCATACATTTACACAAGCAAAGACTCGCAGCACATTCTGAGACAACAAACGCAGCGAGAGACTGATGTGGTAAATGTGCGAGACACTCTTCCTCCAGTCACAAAATCTGGTCATGTGGTCACTGAGGATACCTTTGAGATGCATAGAAATGTCAGGTGTACACACTAATATGTCTCGCTGTCTACTTGTGGTCAGATCACTCAAGGCGGATGTTACCAAATGAGATCAGATTGATTTCATTACAACTTGGTTTTAAAGACGTTTGTGTTCTGAGCAGCTTCGGGGTCGAGCTTGGATGCAGACTTGGTGAATGAAGTTCTGGAGGACATCCCCAGACATGAAGAGGATTATCTAGACGTGACTCTGGAGGAGGAGAGCGAGCTCATTGCTCTGATAAGGTCTTATCTAGAGAGGCGCTCTACATCTTCCACCTGAGAAGAGCTGCCCACACAGGCTTCTTAGCATTTGTTTGAGGTCAGTTTAGAATGTTGTGTTGTTAGAGACAGAACCTGGTCCTGGACTCGGTTGCAACACATTAATTGAAGCCATTTCATAAATACTTACAGTCAGAATCTAGGTTTGAGTTTTTCTGGTTATGTTTATCTCCTAGATAATTGTAGGACTAGAAGTGAATGAAACATTATATTGTTAAAACAGGAGTGGTTGAGGCCTAATGTATATAATGATAACACCTCCACCATTGTATCAGTGATGAAGCGAGGCAGTAATTAAGGCCTTTTTTTTTTCTTCAGAGTCATTTTGAATGAAGTGTGGCTCTTTAAATAATTAAAAAACCAATCCTTGAATTTACCTTAAGTTAAAAATGCCTTAAAGATATCAGAGTTTAGCGCTGAAACATGCATGCTTCTAAGTTGATCTTTCTGAATTTGATCTTCAGTTTTCATTCTACTTTTAATCTTCACTATCTTATGTTCCATTTTACTTGTTTTGATAACTCTGGTCAAGTTTGCGATCAGTTCTGTTCAAAGAGCATTTGTTGACGTGCAATAAATGACAAGATTTGAGTTTACAAAAGCAATGTTTTCTGTTCATTTCAAATGGGTATCTTTTGTACGATTCACTTTATTATTGTCAGTCTTTGCAACAGACATTTTTAAAGGGAATACATTTTGTTCACCCCTTAAAAGGCCAGGACCTGCAGACAGGTCTAAATTTTATTGTTTTACACTTTTATAACTTAAGAATAAATCAGCCAGCTTGAAGTCCTTGTATTTATGAAATAATAGGCATTATGATGTAATAAGCCTGAGATTTAAGACCTTATAAGATCAACTTGTAATGATGTTGATTTATTTATGGGTAGCAAATCATCTAAAGGCTTTGGTTCAAATCAGCTCATTTTGTAAGGTTATCTCCTGTAGCTGTACTTGGTGCAATATTTTTGTAATGGAGTCCTTATATGAAAAACTGCCAAAATTAAAATGTATGCAGGCTCAGTATATTAACAGACACAGAGACACATGTTTGATAAAATACTGTCTTTTGTTGTAGAACTTCATTGTTTATTTTACATGATCTTAAAGGGAATAGTCACAGTCTGTGGCCTGGCAAAAGGAGGTATGAATGAAGGAGGGGGAAAAGGGACAAAAAAGTGGGATGGCAGTTTAGAAGTAGTTGACAACCCTGCGGATGGACTGGATGTTGGGGTTCTGGGCCTGCCACTCGTTGTGGCCGCAGTAGTTTCCTCTCTCCACGATGTACATACGGCCACGGAAGTTAGGCTCCTCGTACATCACCCAGCTACAGAAGAGAAACGCAGGATTAGAGTACAGCAAAAATCAGTGACAATTAATTTGAGTAACTAAAATAAATGTAAACAGGTCATAAAAACTGAGTTGGACAAGGAATATTAATTTAATACAAAGTTTTTTTCTGATTTTTTTAGGACACAAATGTGTTAAAGACTAAATGATTGAATTAGTTACTAAAAAGATTGTTTATTAAAGCTAAAGAATAACATTCCTGAGGTTTTTATAGTATTGAATAAAGAATGTGCTTATTATATGTGTAGCAGTGACTGGTTTGACCAGCAATACATTTCTTTGAAAGGAGAATAACACTACAATAAATGTTAGGGTGGGATTAGGCAATTAAACAAACACATCAATCTCTTTCTTCCATTACTTGTGATCAGTCAAGGCAGGTTTACATGTGGCTATAAGACACTTTGATGCACTAAAATTGACAGCAGAGTTATAGGCTGTTTTATCGAATGATGAGATAAACGAATAAATTTGGGCTAAAAAAAGTATTTGAGTCTAAATCTTGACGGCTTTGTACAGCAACTCAATCCTTTCATGAGGAAAACAGATTTTAAACGTACGGTTAACTGCAGATTGTCTAAACGTGTTTCCATGTGGCACTTACGCTCCATCTCCAAACACCCTGACAGAGTTGACGCAGGTCCTGCCGAAACCGCAGCTCTGCAGGAAGGGGCAGTCGTCACACAGCTCCATGCACTGACCCGTGTAGTTGCAACCCTCGAAGAGCTCAATCCTGTAGTGCTCTCCGTGCTGTGGAGAAGTTATGTGTTATAGTTCAACACTCTGCACATAATACACTTGTTTTATCTTATAACCAGCTTAAATGTGTTTAATAAAATATTTTCTTTGTTACATACAACCATTGCATAATAGTAAAATACTTGTTCTGTCCAAAATAGCATACTAATCAGAGCAGTGGGCTTTACACCTACTGAGCAAAACATTTCATAAAGCTAGTCCAGTTCTCACCATCCTGATAGGCTTGCAGGAACCCATGTGGTCATTGTGGGCGTTCCAGCGCTGGAACTCGGGGTACTCTCCACGCTCCAGGATGTACTGCTGACCCTTGAAGTCAGGGTGGTCGTAGCAGATCCAAGCGCCGCTCTCCACACGGATGGAGTTCACCCTGTTCATGAAACCGCGGTCCTGGAAGTTATCACAGTCTCCATACACCTCCAGCTTCCTTCCAGTGAAGCACCTTCCCTCGTAAAACACTATCTGAGGGAAAGGATGAAGCAGAGACACACAAGGAAATGCAACAGGAAGGGTGGAGTGGATGTTAGGTTTGCCAGTCAGTACAATCAGTGGATAGCAACATTTAAAATGGAATACTTTCTTGATTGTGCTGGATGTGCTTTGGTTGAATCTTGAAAAGAAACAGCAGTGAAATCATTTTGCAGCAAATGTCCAACAGGTCACATGAACATGTGTCCTTCAGCTCATTTGCACACCAATATGTTGGCCTATAGGGCATGGTGCCATATGAGCCAGTGTTTTGTTTTTTTTTGTTTTTTTTTATAATGGGAAACATGAACCATGAAGAGCAGTCAGATTGCAGTTATTTTCTTGCAGCTCCTCTGCAGAATCAAAGTCACACCTGAGAAATGGACTCCACATCCAAAAGAGGCTTGGATGCTTGTCCAGTCTAGAAATGGGCTGGCTATTAGAATAGAAATCTGAAGACTAGCTCTAGGCCTCAGTGGAAAACCAAGCTTGCTCTGTGCTAGTGTTCAACCTCTGAAGCAACTGACAATACTGTGACAGATGAAATATCAGTCACCTGAGGAACCTTCACCTGACTCCGAATGTCCAGTTCCACATCAACCAGTGAGAAATGGATGAAGAAGGCTGAGACTCTATGCTGATGAGATGTGATGTATGATGTATGTTGACCTGATTGGCCCAGATGCTTACCTTTCCAGAATACTGCGACATTTTTCCACTGGATACGGTCCAACCTGACCCACACGTAAGAAAGTGTGACAGTGAAAAAGTTGGACACCCCAATATATATGGATAGTCCCGTGCCAGACAGTATCGCGATGTTTGCCCAACAAAGGCCACACAATGGAGAGCTTATGGCTTTTGCTTGGTGGACACTTTCCGTTCACTCTTGGCACTGCTGATTCTGGGCTTTGGCTCACCCACGAGTACAATAGATTTTGCTTTGCTTGACTTTGTGGGGGCATTTTGCATAGGCTACGCTTCTCTTCACAACATCGAAAGCACACAGTGGATGAGAAGAGAGTGTGTAAGAGAGATGCATCCAATAGGACATTGCGTGTGTCGGGCTCTTTGTGGGACAGTTGTTAACATTCCTTGTGTAACCGTGGCAACCAGGTGGAGGGCTGTTACAGAGGTATAAAAAAGAAAAAAAAGAAAAGAAAAAATACTGTAATTATCTTGATCTTTCTCCACACCACTGGCTTTATGGCTTTTTTCTACTTCTATACCTTTTTCACTGTGTTCAGGTTGAGAAGCTCATAAGTGTAATAATGTTTAAATCAGTTTAATAATGATAGTTGGATTTAGAAATAAATATATGTAAATAATGTAGATAAATATAAAAATGATGCATAGATAAATATATATATACACTGTGATGATTGGATGGATTTCTGGCAGTCTTAATGCGTTATTTGCGTAAGCATGTATGGACTTCATTGGCATTTTTTTTTACCATAAATACGAGCTTGTAGGCATTCTGTCACTGCAGTGTGATTTAAAAGTACACCATTATACTATGTGTGGGGGAGGTGGGGGCGCAAAAAAAACACAGCAATCTACCTGCCATGCACTGCATTATGGTGTTAGATTACACGCTGTGAAAGCAAACATGCTGTATCGATTTCCAGGGCACCTCTATTGGAAGAGAAATACGTTTCAAACTACATGCTTTTCTCAGAATTGCGCATTCTTTTTAACCAGTAAAACAGTTTAAAACAGGCTGGCTTTTACTGGAAACACTTTAAACCACGTTCTGTTTTGTCTTACAAACGTTTTTAGTTCCTAAAGTTTATTTTGACTATTCTAAAGAATTTTCATTACAGAAATGTGATGTCATAGTTGTGCTTTTTTTTTAAAAAAGATCTACCAAAATAAAATCCTGTACTTACCATCTTTGAAGATGCAATGCTACAACATAATATTTAGAATGTAATAAAAATATATGACTGTATTTATGGACCTTATTAATGTCAGCACAGTGAGTATTTTTAGTCCATACAACTGAACGTTTTACTGTACACCTCACTAACCCATCATGTCCATCTAGATGAAATGTGTCAAAGTGAAGCTTTATAATATAATCATGCATAATTCATTATAAAAAAAACATCACAACATACAACTCTAGATGTAGTGAAACAAAATGCTGCGTTTAATGTTTACAATCAAAAAAGTTAGACATCATTCATTACTGAGGAGAATGAATGCTGGAAACTTTATTGGCCATAATTACTGTTTAAGAAATACAATATACAAATTCATAAGGGTTCAGGAGGAAAGAGGCAGGTACAAAAGAGATGAGGGGAGCCGAAAGGCAGGGAAGTAAGGCTTGATATTTCACCAGGTTTGGTTTGTAGTGGAGAAGTAGGGATGGCTGGAAGAAGAGAGAACAGTAAGCAGAGAATAACAGACAGAGGGGCATGATGGTGTTTATTCCTACAGTGTCACTGAGGGCTTCTCTGTATTTTTCAAAAGAATATTAAAAAAAAATACATAACAGAAAAAAATTAAAATGAAATGAAGTATAAAAAAGGAAGTTAAAAGGAAAAAAGTCAACATTTTTATGGAGGAAAACAGGCAGTTAGCCACTTCAAGTAGAGGGATTTCCCAGTGTCCAGTGTTGTGGTAAGGGGCGGGGTGGCTGCGGGAGGGTGGACTCCAAACAGACTTTTCTGGTGAACATTTACCATTAGCTGTGCTTAACCCTAACCCTTAATCTCCTAAAATCTAAACCACTAAACCCTCATCATAACCTAGGCCAAAAAACTCAAGTATTTCACCCTAACCATGGGATTGTTTGACAACTGTTCGCCAGAAAGGTCGGTGTGTGTCCTCCGGTGGTCAGGGCAGGCAGTGGGAAGAGGGCGAGGGTAGTCAGGGAGGGGGGTATCTACATCAGCAAGCAGGGTGTCCGCCCTTGGGGGACTCCACCGTCCATCTTCTCAGCCTCTAAGATTATCCTCTTGAACACCTCCACTGCGGTCTGCCACCAGAGAAGCAAGAGATGCAAGAGATGCCGTTACTCACAGCTACAAACTATCTGCTACACAACCAATTTCTATATACAAACATACAAAACAGACCTGTGTAGATTATTCTGTCATTCTACCAAAGTGGTTCAAAGACAGCGTTTGGACTTTTAACTGGATTTTAGAATAAAATCTTTTTGCTCTGAGTGACGCTTTAATCGTTTGTTTTTAATAAAATAAATATAATTAAGGTAAACATTGTCACTACTAAAACAAGCATAACGCTAGTGAAACTGTACAAATGTTTCAGTGGTGACAATTTTAGCTCATTTTGAGCAGAACTCAAAAATGCTAGTCAGTACATGACTAATAAACAAAGGTTTGAACAGCTGTACACACAAAATCATGATATTTTTCATTAAAACACAAAAAAGTTACTTATTTGCAGAAAATGTTTTTGGAAGTGACAGTTCTTAACAATGGTTTTCAGACTTCAGGACACATTAAAACAATGGGATCTCACTGCCCACCACGTGGCCATATAGGGTCAGGGATGCAGTCTCATTTCCTGCTCTAAAATGCAGGGGTGTGGCTAAAATAAGTCTTCATCTATGGACTAAAACTTGTATGAACACCAGGGTGACATAAAAACCAGAGTTATTATAGTTTTGACATTTTTATTTTTATTTAGTTTTTCATTTTGGTTTTTGAATGCAGTTTAGTTTCAGTTAGTCTTAAGGGGGCATTAATGGGTTTAGTTATTTCATTTTCTGAAAAAAAGGAATAATTTTAATTTTTATTTAGCTTCAGATTTAGTTTTTAGTATGATGAACACTGATATCTGATGAGGGTAGAATAAAATTAACAGAACAGTAGACTCAGCCCAGCTTGGCTCCAACTTTCCTTAAAGACTGTCAAATACAGCAGGGATCCACTTCTAAACTCTCATTCATGAAGTGACAAACAAAACTAGAGAGTTTTTGTCAGTAATTGCATTTAGTTTTAGTTTTGCAGTGGACATTACAGTTTTGATTCAGGGTTTTTTTTTTTATTGAAAACACAAAACACATTTTCCACTGTTAGTTTTTATTTTAGTATCAACTACAATTAGCCTGATGAGAAGATGGAACAGCATTTTTTAAAGTTTTTAAAAGTTTTTATACTTAAAAATACTTCAAAGAAAGTACCTTATAGATGATGATTTTGTATTATATATATATATATATATATATATATATATATATATATATATATATATATATATATATATATATATATATATATATACACACACACACACACACACACAAACTTATAGCTTATTACTATCTCAATGAAGACCTTGGGTTTAAATATATCATAACATAATCCTCATAAAAATCTAAAGTCTGAATACTTGAATTTTTTTTAAATAATGTTTTTACTGTGGGACTGCAGTTTGAACTAATTCAGTAAAATGCTTCATATAAAAATAAAACAATATAATAAACAGAATGGAATGACACCATGTTAGTGTGTCTAGAAGCACTTCTATTACAGAGTGCATTACTAACCCAGGTGAACTCACTGCAATTAGCAAATGTTTTTTCTCCCCCAGTTGACTCCTATGATTAATTGGAAAAATAGCAGCAATAATTCTGCAAAATTACAAGAGCAGTCAGCTTATTGCAAATGATCTGGCTGTTCTAAATAAACCAAACAAGATCCACTATGAATCAGAATAGCATTTTAATTTAACCCCTTAAAGTGGCAACAATAAGGACTGCATGTTTATTATTAAATTATTACTCTATTCAATATCTACAATGTAGGGGAGGAAAAATGTAGATACTTATAGTAATTATGATAAATGATGTGACAGGATGCTTTTCCAAGCATATTGTGATTAGTTAGTACTTAAAAAGCACTGCAGGTTTCAACAAAAACTATTAGCCCTGTTTAATTTAATTTAGTGCAGTTACGTGAAACATGGGATAAAATGATGTATTTTTCATAGTAATGTGGCACTGCTGGCTCTTGTCTGGCTTTGTTCCAACAAAATACTGTGATGTATATTGTGAAAAGTTATATTTTTGCCATATCTCCAACCCCGTAGTACTATGAATTATTCAGTAACTACTATGAAACATGCGAGTTAAGAGTGAGGAACTGAAGCATCGGCCTGTATGTGGGTTTATGAGGTTAAACTGAACATGTAATATTGAACCACTCACAGCCAAAGCAACAATTATCATACTCATCATTTCAGTGAATTAATTAATATGCAAAATATAAAAGGCACTATGAAATAAACCCAAAGTAAATTGTACTGTTTCTGTCTCAAGAAGCAAGATAACAAATTATCAGTGCTTTTGACTCAAAGTCAGCTCATATGGAGTGGCCACGTTCTTCGGCTTACGCAGAGCAGGCATAAACACTACTGCACTGTCACGCAGCCCACCAGAGAAACTGGAACTGTGATATTCAATTAGCAGCTTGCACACTGTTTTTCTCTCTGGGGTTGCTGGATCTCCAGGCTATGCTGGTGCTCAGAAAAGAGGCCTACATGTATGGGTTGGGACAAGGGTTTGTATCCCCTCCTCTTTCTGGTTCTCCTTAAATCTGAGGTCGGATCTAGAGAGCAGCGCGAGAGGCTCGGTAGGAGTTTATGTAACAGCTAAAGCCCACAGGGCAGACTGAAGCACTGTCACTCTCATCTAGCTGTAAATATGAAATGTCAGGGACTCGCTGCGAACAACAACAGTCGTGATGAATAGAGACAAGGATGTAATTCTTCATTCACAATCTAACGAGGTTAAAATTACAAGTCTGCTTACAAGCTTAGTATATTATTGTAATTGCTGCTCTGAATGGCTGAACAGAATGTCTGGTATGCTCCTTATCTGTATAGATTCTGAAAGTAAGCCTCGTAAAAGCTAACAATGATAACATGCAGCCTCAGACTCAGCATTTGCGGTCCTAGACACGTGTAGTATACATCCATACTCACTCCTTCCCTCTCCCTTTCTCACACTGCAGTGCATCTCAGCATGCTAATGCATGACCTCATTACCATAGCAACTGCTTAGCAACCAACCCCTGCCCTTCAACCCCGTTCATCTGCACTGACTCCAAGTGCTCACATTCCTCAGAGAGACACACATTCAATGTGAAGAAACGTTTGCTTAGTTTTTGGAATCAGTAGTGATCCAATATGATCTCGATCTTTCTGATGAAGCGCTGTGCTAACCTCAGATCAGCAATTCTCACACGGATCTTTCCTATTCCCTGTGGAAACCCAGTCAAATCTTCCAAAAGTACTGCGAAACCAGACTGAACATGCTGGGTGAGAGACGAGTCTACACAGACAGAATCAGGGACATGGAGTACATCACTTGCCTCTCCTTCCTGAGCTCCAATATACTGCAGCTACGCACTCAGTAATAAGTGTATGAAGGACTGAGTGACTGCTGGGCGTACAGGGAAAAGGTTTTAGGCATGAAACTCGGCCCAATATGCCATCTCGGATAAATTTTAAAACTCATAACCCATCACTGTGGGAGCGCGCAGCACCGCTTCCCCTATCCAGAGAGTAAGTCTAAAAAACACTTGCACAAACTTTAAACTAGGTGAGCTTTTAAAACTGACAAACTGAGTTCTCTAATAAAAGCGTTACGTCAGAGACAGTGAGAGAGACATGGAGAAACTGTATATCTATGTGAGTTTTATTTGGAAGGGGGATAAAGTGTGACCTGAAGAAGTTTGTTACCTGGTTCTCTTTTGCAGAGGACTCCATGAACGCTGCGTTCCATGATTCTGCCAACGCTTTGCCTTCTTCACAACTGATAACACTAAGACAGAAGAATGTGCATAAGGTCAGAGGATGTGAGAAACTGTCATCAGATTATGTTGTTTGCTCTCTCTATTGAGTACTTCTTGCAGGCCTTGTCTGAAACTGCTTTATCCATTTGTCAAAATGCTAGAAGTACTGTGCAAGTCAGATTCCACCCTTTATTTATTTTAACCAATGCCAACCAGCCATTACAGGAGATTAGATATAAAGATAATCCACTTGTAGGATTTAAGAGGAAAGTCAATGGTACATAAGTGAAAACTGTTTTTCGTTAGTGAAAATTATAGATAAAATTTGATTTCTAACAAACATGCAGGACCTGTTAGACACCAAAACTGTCACCATCAATAAACAGTACTTAAAGCTTTCATCTTTGAGAGAGAGGAGAAAATCAAGCTCCACTCTTTCTTCAGATATGAAAAATACACAGGTGTTTCTGTCCATCTTTCTACTGTGAGAAAGGCAATTCAACGCTATGAATGTGTTTATTTGGATTATGAGAAGCAGAAAATGCAACCAACTTCTAAGACTGGAAATGTGGAAGAATATCCCTGCAGATTTCTCTGTAAAACTGAAAGCAAGTCTCTGAAAAGAATGGAAGCTGTGATTAAGGGTGGACAATTGTTGATACTATATTTACCTAATGAAAAATGACTAACATATATAATGGCAGTTCTGACTAGAAATTAAATAAATTAAGACTGGTCTCTGAGTTTTGTACAGTACTATAGATTTTCAGCACATTTTAATGTAATGTAACTGGCAGCCAAAATCATCAGATCAGTCAGTCTAATTGGATTTGATAATCAATACTAAATCAAAACTAAACATAAAATAGTCACAAGAGTAGGCCCAAAAAAAAAAAACCAAAAAAAAACCCCCAAAAAAATCAACACGTCAGCATATGAACAAAAAAAGTACAAATGAAATTGATTTTTCTGTAGCATTTTAAAGTAATATGCAGCCTGACCTATCTTCCATAACCTATACTGTTATTTCTTTATGTACTTAAACTGTGCAATGTTCAGCTGCGTGGTCTACAAAATTACAAAGATTAGACTGGACTCTCTATCGGCTCATACTCTGTACTATGGAACTTGCATTTGTATCGGGGTCAGAGAACCTGACTGAGACATCCCTTGTTCATTTACTGATTAATTTACATAACTCTATTCTTTTTAAAAACACAGTGCTAAAAAGGAAAGCATTTCAGCTGTTGTTCAGGCTTCTACAGCAAACTGCAGTTTAGCTGCATGACCTTTAATGAACCAGTCTCTGCAGAGTAGAAACCCCACTCTAAAGCATGCTGTACAGCAGTGGGGCAGCAGCTTTGAGAACCCTGCGGTCAGCCTGCAGTCCCCTCTTCATTACTTCCTCTGCTGGGGGGGGGGCTGCAGATTGGATGGCAGATAAAGCTGAACGTGCCACTCTATATGTGTACTGCTTTATGTGGCCTATCGACAAAACTCTAATGGAGCTATTGATCCAGCAAGGCTGTAGATAACATGCACATACATACTAAACACACACGCAGACACTGACACACACTCCCACTGCAGTCAATCTGGAGCCTGAGCAGGTTCAGGACATTGTTTATTGTACTCAGAATGTCCACCTCAGAGCCTTGAGTAACCAAAAGAAAGCAAGATTTGGGAAATGTAGGCCTCAGCAAGTTTCCCATCACAGGATTTGGACACAAGCTCATGAAAGGTACGCTTTAATAAAGATGCCCTTGTTAAGAAGAGTTGAGAGTACGGCCTGACCCATATATTAGTTAGCTATTAATACTGTCGATTACTGAGGTCCAGCAGAATAATTGGTATGAGTACCGTAAAGAAAACTGTTCACTTTTGATGATAAGGATTACTAAAGTGGCCATCATCATCTGCCTACCTCAATCACAGCAACACAGGTAAATTTGCTGACAAATTATATATATATTATGTACATTGAATTTAGGTGTTCCAATCACTTCCTTGGCCACAGGTGTATAAAACCAAGCACCTAGGCATGCAGACTGCTTCTACAAACATTTGTGAAAGAATGGGTCGCTCTCAGGAGCTCAGTGAATTCCAGTGTGGTACTGTGATAGGATGCCACCTATACAACAAGTCCAGTCATGAAATTTCCTCGCTACTAAATATTCCACAGTCAACTGTCAGTGGTATTATAACAAAGTGGAAGCATTTGGAAACGACAGCAACGTAAAACAGGTCACGTAAAATGATAGAGCGGGGTCAGCGGATGCTGAGGCGCATAGTGCGCAGAGGTCGCCAACTTTCTGCAGTCAATCGCTACAGACCTCCAAACTTCATGTGGCCTTCATGTGGATTTCCATGGCCGAGCAGCTGCATCCAAGCCTTACATCACCAAGCACAATGCAAAGCGTCGAATGCAGTGGTGTAAAGTGCCGCCACTGGACTCTAGAGCAGTATAGAGGTGTTCTCTGGAGTGACGAATCATACTTCTCCGTCTGGCAATCCGATGGACGAGTCTGGGTTTGGCGGTTGCTAGGAGAACGGTACTTGTCTGACTGCATTATGCCAAGTGTAAAGTTTGGTGGAGGGGGGATTATGGTGTGGGGTTGTTTTTCAGGAGTTGGGCTCGGCCCCTTAGTTCCAGTGAAAGGAACTCTTAATGCTTCAGCAGACCAAGAGATTTTGGACAATTTCATGCTCCCAACTTTGTGAGAACAGTTTGGGGATGGCCTCTTCCTGTTCCAACATGACTGCGCACCAGTGCACAAAGCAAGGTCCATAAAGACATGGATGAGCGAGTTTGGTGTGGAAGAACTTGACTGGCCAGCACAGAGTCCTGACCTCAACCCGACAGAAACACCTTTGGGATGAATTAGAGCGGAGACTGCGAGCCAGGCCTTCTCGTCCAACATCAGCGTCTGACCTCACAAATGCTCTTCTGGAAGAATGGTCAAAAATTCCCATAAACACACTCCTAAACCTTGTGGAAAGCCTTCCCAGAAGAGTTGAAGCTATTATAGCTGCAAAAGGTGGGCCGACATCATATTAAACCCTATGGATTAAGAGTGGGATGTCACTCAAGTTCATATGCGTGTGAAGTCTATACATGGAAATTAAGCTGCAAAAACAGCGCATTTTAAATGTATTATTCTTTCTGTGAGTTAGATCCGAACACATTTACATATATCTGCCTACTCAGCCTAAAGCAGTTTAGCCCCACCCAGCCATTCATGTCCAAGTTATGGAAGTTGTGGAGTGTTCCACCTCTGCGTGCTTTTTGAAAGAGGCACAGCGTAGTAACTAACAACTAGTACAGGGTAGGCAATCACAACACAGCTCATTTACATATATCAGTTTTAAAAGCTCAATAACAAAAACAGCTTGTTAAATTCTAGGGGATAAAGAGAGGTTGGAGATTAGTCATGTAAAATGAACTACAACCATTTTTGGTACATAAAACTACAAAAACAATTCAAGTAGACCTTGAGGGAGAAATAAAATGCTAGGAAAATAAAGGATATGTTGCTTTTTTTTTATTTCCACATTAGTCAGGCCCTAGACAGGAGTGTGTCCAACAGTGTGCTTCCTTATGGGCCTGGTTAGAATCTGAGCCAAGCCATTCTGATCAACATGACCAGTTTCTGTCTCCATTAACAGCACACAAGAGACTCTTAAATAGCTACATCATGAAATCCATTTCAACAGTCGGGCCGCAATGACTGGTAGACAAACTCCATAATGCTGATTATGGACAAAAAACACTGACCTGAGGGAACACATGGGGTGCGCTATAATGTTAGATGGCAGATGTCTACAAATCTGGACCTTTGGAGTTTGCTGTCACTGGTAGTTCTCACACTATGTAACCAATTAGTTACATCAATACTTCCATTAAGTACCATAGTATTAGAAAATACTAGACCAGAAACTGGATTCAGTGTAGTGGTGGGTGATACAGCAAAAATATACTATCATGATGCTTTTTCACAATACACAATATGTTTCACAATATTCTGACACAGACTTAATGCACTAGTAGTGCCACATTTAACAGCCATACAATGATGTTTTATTTATGATGTTTTACACCCTGCACTGCCCTAAATCCAATAAATAGTAATAATAAGTAAGTAAACAGTAATAATTCTGCTCTCTTCGTAATGAAATGTGGAGTTGGACAGTGTTTTTAAGCATGGGAGATATCCATGATATGCTCAGAAAAGCGTATCACAATAACAAAAATTATCACGATAACGTTAAAATATCGTCATATTGCCCACCTCTAATTCAGTGTCCAGATCTGAAGACCTCTGCTCTATAGTGTTCATATGATACACATGGCCATTGCAACAGATTGTAGTACGTTACGGGGCGATGTGGCTTCTATTGTTTTGATGCGACATAACAGAAGAAATCGCTTTTTGCACAGACGGTGCTTTTAATGATGGCAGTGGCGAAGAAAGAAGAATTAAGGCATAATAGATAAATTAGTTGAGTAATGACAGATTAATCGATTATAGAAATAATCGTTAGTTGGAGCCTAGTCCATACAGAAAAGGGGAGCAGTCAGCTCTCTAAGCCTTTAAATCATTTTGTAGGCCAATTTCATCACATAAACCAAGCATCAAATGCTAGAAATAGATTCTCATTCAGAAATAGTCTTTTTTTCATTATACAAGAGCTGCAAACAGAGACATCCACTATAATGTTGCCTAATGGTGGATGTGAATTCTGACTGCTAGGATGCTGAGACTCTGAGATGGATGTGCTGACTGCACCAGACTCAGCCTCTCTTTTCCTGCATAAAACAGTCAGAGAGATCGATACCGTACAATCCACGATGCTTAATCGAAGCATACAGCTCCCAAGTGCTGAGCTTCAAACTGCCGAGCCACTGTGGGTGCGTGAGAGAAAGACAGAGAGACTGAGTGTGTGTGTGCGTAGCAGAATGGAAATTAGGACTTAAGCCAGAAATAATTTAAGTGGGAATCACAAGTCATTTTGCCCAGGGCCAGGCTGTGTGTGAGGATTTTATTGAAATGAGGCTTTTGGTTTTCAGCAGAGAGAAAAGGAAGAGAAAAGGTGTGAAAAATTCAGACACTGGGCAGCCTGTCTCTGCTTTAATGAGGGGGAATTTTCATCCATTACTTCATATCCCGTGGAATAGTGTTTAGAGCCAACCCCCATCTATTCTATTTCCTGTTTATCCCTTTGTTGTACACGTTTTTTTTAATGTACCTCCTCAGCAGCCTCTTAAATCAGACACAATGGTGTGACCGTTTCCTGGGTTAGGTCACACTCTATGTAAAGCTTTTCAAAATACTCACTGCAAGTCTTACTATAAACTACCTTGCTGTAAAATCTGACAACAACAACCACCATGACTAGAAGCTCTCTATCAGCCAAGAACAACCGTCACAGCGTGTTCCCTGCTCGTTTTGGGAGCTGATGCTGGGACTCAGTCTGACCTATTTATGTGAGCACAGGGGCATCTGAGATCAGACAGCTCCTCTCTCTCCTCTCTTCCACTTACATCTCTCTATACGTATATCATGGACCTCACATGTTGATGACAAGGCCAGACTTGACAGATGTGAGCGAAAGCAGGAAGGTTTGTTCAAGAGATCAGAGTACACCACTTGCTTTCTTTTACAGGGCAGTTTTAGTCATATAAGGAATTCCTGTGCAAAAAGCTCACTGCTCTTTCAATCAGTAAGGATGTGAATTCTTAAAGCTCACGCTCAAGCTCGCCCCTTTGTCCAATTCAATAATCTCTCAACGACGCTCCTTGGACCAATATACAGATGAGTCACATAAAAATCAAGTGGATGGCTCAACCTAACACTTCCTAATGGAATTCATTATTGCCAATAAAGAGGAGTTAAAATGTTACATGACTGTAATTATAAAACAAGCTTACGTTGTTCAAACCTATGATTCAAGAACATTGAGGTCCTCTCTTTGCAAATGGCATAAAAACAACTTTTTCTTTTCTGATACTGATACTAAAAGTCTATTCTGGTCAGGTGTTTACTGTTTAGAAGCTTTTAAGATTTAAAATGAGCTTCTCTTAACTGAAGCTCTTCACTTAAGATGAGGTTAAGCTAGGTTATGGTGCTCAAACACTCTAATAGCCCACAGGAAGAAATACACAGCTTACATCACATCACACATTGTGAGTGTTTGCTGTTTCAGATTGGATAAGATTCATTCTTTTTTCACCTCTAATATTCAATCCAGCATTTTCTGCTGATATCAGCCTGATTCCAATACCCATTGATATAGATATCTCTAGGTGTCATGTGACCTGGCATTGTGCAGATTATTTATGCGGTTGACTGTGTACGTCCCTAATGTGTAAAGTGTGCGTACATGACTTACCGCTCCATGTGTAGGTCTTTTTTATTTCCCACCAGCATTATGGGTACTCTAGATAAAGACAGAAGAGACATCTCACTACATGGCATTGGGCTTTATAATGTATTTTTCATTTTATTGTTCAAACATATGTAGTACATAACCATTCAGAAACCACAAAGATACTTACTGTACTTTACCCACCATATCCAACAATTTTTCATGAATAACTTTTACTACTTCAAAACTGTGAACGAGAAAAGGAGAGAGAATGTGTATTACATTAAGGCTATAGAAGATGTGTTTAAATGAAGTGATCACAAGGCCATCAGTAGCTGCCTGCAGGAGAGAAAACTGTTGAATTCCTTCCAAATCTAGAATCCACTTGGCATGCAAAACCACAAAGAAAAAAAAATGCCACAATATCTGAACAAAATCCAGTTTGCTACATGAAGCATAACCTGTTTGAGACTTGTACATGCGCTTGCCATTGCAGCAACCTTGTCTGGGTCAAAGCTGGATGTACAGGAAATCAATAATGTACAGAATATCCTGTAACACTCAGGAACTGCTACCATGAGCACATTTTCTATATAGCAGATTATTCCACAAAACCATTAGAGTGATCACTGTAGTCACTGGCTGTATTCTTTCTCATCTCTACTGAACTCTGGACAGATATGCAAAATTACTGAGTTAATCCTAACACTCACAAAGGCACATAAGAATGAGCACAGCAATGTAAGACTTTCTTCTTTCTTTCCTTCATTTTTCATAAACATCAAACTCTAAGTGGCTCAGCATGTCAGAAGAATACATCACACAGCGAGCAAGGGGAGTCAGGCATGTTTCAGTGCAGACAATTTAGACTATTCATTTGTCTTTATGTGAGTCGTCCCAACAGAGGTAAATGGGCAACCTTTCTGCATTAATGATCACTGAATTCTCGTTAGGAATAACTCCACTGAAATCCCCATTTACATTAAGGTTTAGGGTAAATAAAGGTCTTTGATGGGGTTGGTTCCCATAGACGTTTTCTGCAGAGAAAACTAGGACTTTCCCAGAAAGCTCAGGGGACCACAGGACAGAGTCATTTGACTGTTTCGTGTGGAGAGCAGAGCTGATGAATTCTGCCCTTTTATACAGATCTGAGACCAGTTCAGTGCACGTTTTGTTGTAAGTGAGCTTTGGATCTAGATTTGACTTACAGAGGTTGAAACAGTAAGGCTGAGAAAGCTGAGCCAATTCAGCTCTAGTGCTCCACTAAATACATCTAGATTGATTAAATCAGTATCTTAAAAAGGTTTGAAGGTCCTATTAACGCTGATAATGGAGGCCACATGAGAGATTGAATTAGAGAGAGAAAAAAGAGAATGTAAAGCTTGAATGTAAAGAATGCTTGGATCTGTAGTTTAACTCAAACACAACCATGCCATTCTCTCCACCTAAAGAAACACTGTGCTCCATCTGGCCTTGCATAGCATGTGGGGCACCACTGGGACCTAAATTTGGAGCTGTAGGAGCTCAATTTATCTGCACAAGCTACTTGGGAGCCTTAATCTTTAAAGCTGAAAGTGATATCCTATTCCAATAAAACAGCTGAATTACACTGGACATATGAAAACATTACTAAATAAGAAAAAGGGATCCACGCATTACTCCTGTTTATCTACAGCACTATGACCCTGCCAGCAACTAGTTCTCCAAATCTGGAGCAAGTCATTCGCAGTACCATGCAAAGACTTAAGGAAGCTGATGTGTATGTTAGAGTTATAAAATATGTTTTATTCACAGATGCCACCATTATGCAAATATTCATTTCAATAACAATCACAGCTCACAAAAAGAGCCTTCCTTAAGAAATCTGCATACTACGAGAGACAGCATGACACAACTGTTTCCTTTTCTGATATCAATACGGATACTGAAACCTTGAGTATTTGATGATACTGATCTGATATTTCTTCTTTAAAGGGCCCATTTCATGGAAAAATCAGTAATGTATAAACATTCTTCAAGTTTCAAAATGTTTCATTCTCTACCCAGTCCATAAGTCCATTCATGTAAGCTAAGCTGCAAAATGAGCCATTTTGAAATCACTGTTTCTGTGATGTGACGAGAACCAATTCATCCTGCCCTGCACAGTCACACTGAAGTTCTATGGAGTGCTCCAGCTATAAGTGCTTTTTGAATGAGAAACAATACAGGTTCAGCCAACCAGAACAGAGGTCATTCATTTTGTATAAGTCTTAAAGGCACAGTAACAAAAACAGTCTGTTTAATTCTAAAGGATAAATAGAGGTTTGAAAATGGTACTGTAATTTTAAATTATTACCATTTTTGGTACATAAAACCACACAAATTTTACAAGCTCACGCCAACTGTAAAAAAAGAAAAATGTAGGATGAGCCTTTCAAAAACTGCAAGATTTGAAAATGAGCTAATCTTAATTGAAGTATTTGCTTAAGAATATAGCTAAACTACTCATCATGCCTAATCTACTTAAACGTTCTACTACCCCCCACAGAAAGAAATACAAAGCTAACAACATGACAGCACACGATGTGTGCTACCTGGCTAATTCAGCCATTTCACAGCATGTTCTATTTCAGGCTAAATGTGTTACAGAATTCATCCTTTTCTTGCCTTTGATTTCTGACACAGTATTTTCCGCTAAATACCAAGAGATGAATATGTTGTTCCAGCAAGGTCAAAAATGTCATAACGTTAAAGGCTATGAAGAATAACTCATAATTTCTCAACCTACCTTTTATTTGAGGTGACTGAATACACCAAAATGTAACCATTGATATCTATGGAATATGTTTGAGGGAAAATGGAGTATTCATCCTGAGGAGAAAGAAAAGGTTTAGTGAATCAAAGGAGCACTGAGGTAGTTCATTATGTAGGTTCAATAAATAGCATCAGTCAGCTGAGTGTCAGTTCATCAGTTCATTAGTTCAAGGCTTCGCTGTGATGTGAGTGTCTGCCTGTGCCCTGCTACCACTGCCCTTTCATATAGCCATGTTGGGCTTGCTTACGGCAGCGCATCCCAGCTCACTCAGCCGTATGACTTCTATTTCCAGCTCAACCACCCCTGCTTTGATTGAATTTGAACATGTCAATTGGTGGGCAACATAATGGGATGCTAGGGCCACATATCTAAATCAGTTACTGTGTGCACTGTGTATGTGTGGATAGCTCAGGGTCAATGCACTCTCTTACCTGCCCTGCTGTGTCGACCAGCTGCAGATGGTACTCTTGGCCATTGACTGTGATCATTTTAGTAAATGCTGCAGAGAGAGGGCGAGAAAAATTGTGAGACACAAAGAGAGAGAGAGAGAGAGAGAGAATGTGTGTATCTGCAGAATTCAGCTCTAACTCTAGTGAGAATCGATACAAGTGCAAAAAGTGAAGAAAAGAAAAAAGCAAAGCAGACAACGGTATCAGTCAACTGGTCTCCTGAACGAGCTCCCTGAAACTGAAGCCCAAACTGATAACCTATGCATTAGCACTGTGGCTGTTAAAGTAACCTAAAACTGCAAGCAGGGAATTTCAGAAGTGACAGTTATTTTACAGCAATTTGGACTGGAGAGCAAGTGTGTGACTGAGATGGATACGCAAAAATACTGGCTCTGGAAGGCTGTGCTTTATAAGCAAGTAATCACCTGGCATAAGAAGTGCAGTAACTTGCGGCAGGTTGAAGCTGTGAGTGTGATCTCAGAAGGCTGAAAATCTAAGGCACAGCCGCACACAACACTTTGAGGACATAGCACATCCCTGAGGACAGGGCTTGCCGCCAGCAGCAGCCAGCCCGACAGAACACAGGAGAAAATAGCTAAGCATGGAGCCAGTACGGTTAATACCTTTACTCAAGACTCCAGACTCATTGAGAGCAAATCACTTTCAACATAGTCCCACCTCACCCCACCCCCACCTTCTCCAAAGACAAATTAGCAAGTAAAATTACCAAAAAGAGGAAGTCATTCATCAGCAATAATGAAGCTATTTTGCCTACTGCACCCAGGTTGGGCCTGGCATTCCAAACAAGTTTGGCATGTAGAGGGAAGAGTACTGAATGGCTCAAATGAAGGCATGGAAAGACTGCTATGGTAGAATCCCTGTGTTACAGCATAAATAGTGATGCAGTGATACAGGAATTTTGGGCTGCTACAGATATTCAATAATTTTCAGGTACATATCTGCTGATGTCAACATGTAAACATTTGTAAAATGTAGACATTCAAACTAGATCCACTTGGATTGGTATTACAGAGAAAAGTACTTCCTTCATTTATTTATAGAGGCTTAAAAATGATACCAAAACAATTCTGATATCAGGCATCCCTAAGAATAAATATCAGCTCTTCACTCTTTCTGCCCAAGGCTAGAATAAGAGGAACATTTCAAGAATAAGTCACTTTCAATAAAGGGAAGAGTCTACTGAGTGATAAGCAAACACTCCACTGTGACCTTAAAAGAAACTGTCTCATAAAATACCTTATCAAATTTTTAAAGAACAGCGTGTAAATACATACCAAATATAGCCACACAAATGCCTCACAGGACAAAACCTTTCACTGGATAATAAATCAATGGACATCTACACTTAAATGTAACTCTGCTAAACTCTACTGCTTATATACTTTTTGCTTTTGCATTCTGGGATTATTTCAGGCTATGAGTAGACCACTACCAAACAGTGATTAAATAAGCATCAAAGGTAACAGCTGCCTCCCTCCCACAAACACACTATACGTTCAAAAGTCTGATGAACACCTGGTCATCAATGTTAACAATATTAATAACATATTAATCCACAGTCCAATTCTGTGGGTCTATAACCCTCTAGCCAATGCTTAGCATTGGACATGGTGACCTAAGGCTCGTGTGCTACCATCTCAGAGGGTCCCATTCTATTGGACAAGCTTTTCAAAGGAGATTATAAAAGCTGTGTGTGTATAATAAAACACTCACATCAGCAATAAGTGCAACTTAAAGTAGCTGAATTCACTAATTAAAATCAGTGTCAATACTTTTGGACACAGTGTATTTTCATCAAGTCTTTCCTGGAGGCAGTATTACTTCTATTCAGATGCCTAATGGCACTCCTTAGGGACACCTGCACTGACGCAACACACCTGATGCAAGTCATCAAGGCCTGAAATATTAGTTCATAAACTGCTAATGTTACAGCAAAGTTACTAGTAAAACTGTCTGTCACAGCTGGTTGAATTTATCTTTGCAGCATCTAAAGCCAAGCAGTGCTGATGTCTCCCTGGACTGGGACTGAGAATCATGGTCTTGTACTTCATGTTTTACTGATACTAATGTATGGAGAGATATAACACGGCTGATACTTCAGTCTGTTCTCTACATCATAACAACCACCACCATGCCACTAAGGACAGGCATTTGAGGACTGCAGCCACTACTGAGCAACATGTATCTTTATAACAACTTTATTTAAACAGGCTAACACTATGCAGACATTGTATGGTGCCAATCAGTGAATCGAACAGAACACGATAAAAAAGAGCCCACTAGCATATTGTCGCTGTCCAAAAAAACTGCTGTAAAGAGATTTTATTCCAAGCAATTTTGGGGCTCCACTGGGCATGAAATCTTTTCAAAATGTAAATGGCAGGTACTGTGTTCAAATTATGTAGAAAAGTGAAAATTTAAAGAGAGGAAAAAAGGGAGATTGTTTTGGGGAAAGCAACAATATCTAAAGTGTACAGATGAATAGCTGTATTAATACATATAACAAAAAGTGTGATAAACAATGAATGTTAGGCTATATTGTATGTCCTTGTCTTACTGTTAACCTTCTATTTACAGAACGCTGAATGAGGCCATGTTTAAAATTAGGGATGCACCAATTTGTGAATTGTGGGCTGCTGCTGATACCGATGCTGATGCGTAAATGTTTATAAAATGTAGAAACTGGGACTAAATGGAAATGGATTAGCATTAGAGAAATGTAATATTTATTTCTGTAGGATTACAAATGCAGTAAAATGACTAAACTGCAGAAATGTAAGATTAGTAGACCAGCATTACTAAAACAAACTGGTCTTCTGGAGTATAATCATACACGTCAATTTTTTAAAAGCAAACGTCTGCTGATAACGATATGTTTTCGATATCACTGTGCATCTCTATTTAAAATATTTAATTATTGCTGGATTTATTTAGCACTTTTATACTGATATAAGGAGTCTAAATTTAAAAAAAATCAGCAATGTCAGCTAAGGTATATTGTTTCTGGAACTCATATGATGAATGTTTTGCCATGGTATCATTTTGGCATCATACACCGTGATACTGCACTTAGTATTGGCATCGAAGTCAAAATGCTAGTGTCATGACAACCCTTCACACCACAAAACAAGCCACACACAAACAAACAAAAGAACAGAGTATGTCTGAAACACAGCAGTGTGTAATTTAGTATGTAGCAGAATGGAGGCTATACACCCAGCTGCGCTTCAGAGAGCCTCCAAGACGAAGTTCATTACTCCAACTGCAGTCTGTGCACTTCCCAAGGCACATACAGCTTCATTTAATTACCCAGAGTCTGGAGTTACACATGCTACATATCAAGGTCTAAAAATGATCACACTACTTCTAGAATTCTAGAAAATCTGCTGTAACACTTATAGCACAGCAAAGATAATCTGTATGAGCAGCATCCTGAGGATGTAGGCTGTCTTATTGATTTAGGCCTATATAATACAATGAAGTGCCAAAGATCAAAAACAGACCCAAAATTTAGGTTCAATATTGTGGTATGCAGAAATCATAAACCTAGATACCAAGATATGATAATAATGTACACTGCAATGTTAAATTTAACATTTCATTAAAGAGAGGTTAGATTATGGATGTGCATTCTGACTGCACAGTGTTCATTAAAAAATAAAAAATAAATCTGCACTACCATTAGGATGCTTAAAAAACTGCAAAAAAATGTAGCATGCAGAGGAATACATTTTAAAATATTTTTATCATTCAAAATAGCTTAGGTAAACTGGCAGGTCTTAATATCAAATGAGCAACAGAGGCTGTCTCTTCAAATGAGCCGAGCTAACAGTAGAGCTAACAGGTACAACGTTGGATGCTGATGAAGACTTTTATACATGGTATTTTCACCTGAGTGTACGATGTGCCAGCATCTCTATCTAGAAAAGATCAGCTGGCATATTTAGCCTACTTAGCGATAAAGCCTATCTCTGCCTTCTCTGTTGCGTCTTTGGCAAAGTTATACACTTGTTTCGTAGGAGCAAAGTATAATATAATGCACTTGCTTACTAGCAAATATTTTTGGCTATATTTGGCTGTTTATTTTTTCTATGTATAATTAGCTATCATGAGTTTACAACCCAACAATGGATGTACTGCTACACAGTATGGAAAAAAAAATAATAGTTTTTATAAAACACACACACACACCCACCCACACACACACACACACACACACACACACACCTCTTATGTTTTCAGACCTTACAGAATGAAGAATTCCTCTCTTACTGATCTAGGAACAGCTCTAAGTCTCCAAAGCCCAAACACTGAGCATTATAAAAAGCCATACGGCTGATAGGCAAGGCCAGAGTTGAAGGGGCTGAGCTTCAGAGCTGTGTGTAATCAGTGCGTATGTGTGGAGGAGTTGCTGACCCACTGCTGTATTAAGGGTCGTGAGGAACTCAGCGGTGGGCTGCCTTATTTAACTGTTCCCCACTAATCTGTCTGACTCACACACAGCATTACCTCACAAAGTCCTGCACACTACTTCCTCTGAGTAAGCCTGTGAAATACAAGTAAGCCGAGCAGCTTTGAAAATAACCACTGTAGCTGGCTTAAGGCATACACTAGGATCCCATGCAGGATTTTATTGAGGAGAATAAATACACATTTTATATATATATATTTTTTTATATATATATATATATTTTTTTTTTTTTTCCATTGACAAGTAATTCTAAATTATCTAATTGAATCCTGATGAAATCTGAAATTTCATGATGAACAAGCACTGTAACTGAATCAAATTGTTGTGAGGTCAGAGGTTTACAGCCCTCCTCAATACTGGACACTCAACATTTTAATATATTGCTGGAGACTCCAGATTTCAGTGTCTCCCCAACTTGTATTCATACTGTGTGGGAGTTACTCTGGGGTGACTGAATATATGAAATGTTTATGAAAAGACCAGTGGAGTAGCTATTAGAAGCTCCTCCAAGCCAAGGCTGAACTGCATTAGAAAGCAGGCAGTGCTTGAGCTGGCCCCTGCCATGCTGCTGCTGCTGCTGAACTCCATGTAAATAGCTGGTTGCGTCTGTCTCCTCAGTGCTCCCTAATGAGGAGAAATGCTGATTGTACCAGAGCGATGCAGAGCCACACACTGAGCCTCACACTGCCAGTACATCCACACTGCTGCCTTCAGTGAAGAGCAGAGGACAGAAATACACCTGGCCTCCCTCCAGGGCCTGCGGACAGCCCCACCAACAATCAAATCATACAGCAGCAACCGGAAGAAAATGAGGTCTGCTGGAAGGTGGTCCAAGCGGACATATTCAAGAGCACACATGCAGTCAGGCACGTGTGCATGCGCACACGCACATACATATATATGTTAGGGCTGCACAATATGAACACAATACCAGTACTGTGATTACAGTGTCACATATTGCCTTGCAATATATTAAAGCCACATTGGTAAATCAATAATGTGACTTTTGCTTTACTTGGATCAAGAGAATTTACCTTTATTGGATTACAGGAGTATCTTTATTCATAAAAACACCCACAGAAGCACTCTACTGGAAATGTGATCGCTGAAAAAGCCAACAGGACATAGTAAAAACATCTGCATATTGCAGCCTTCTGAGACATCACTATTTCAAAGGACGATACAGTGATAACGGTTAATAATTGGTACATCGTGCAACCCTAACAAATCTACAAAACATACACAAAACATGCACTATGACGCTTTGCCTATGAGACCAATTACTGGATCACTAGACAGGGCGTCTCCTCTGTCTCTGTCCCAGTCTGCTAGATTAATTAGGATGCACTTACTGTTTTCTATGGTTGGATCATATGAGTCCACAAACTGGCCCTCCACAAACTGTATTGTCAGTGAGGACTTCCCTGCAACACATGAAAATCATTATGAATCAATAGCTTTTGAAATCAGTCCATTCATCAGTTACAGCAAGCTACATTCACATACAGCCTACACAGAAAATACTTTCAGCTGAAGTGCGCTATGTAGTTTCTGGTAAATGTCAAGCGTTGCCCAGAGACCTCAGTATTACGTAACCCACTTCTTAGTGCTCCCAGTAATTTCTCATATAGGTTAGCCCTAGTGTTAACAGCTTAGAAACTACTCTGGACATACAATATTTGCACATTTCCACATTAAGCATTAAAGCAGTTTTAGCATTTCACATGTACCGACAGAAATAGACCAATGCTGCCTTTTGTCTTTCCTTTTGTCTGCTAATTTGTGTGTAGTGGAAGAGCGTGGAGCTGTAGTAGCAGCAGCACGAGATGTTTCACACTGATGTCTGCTGCCCGAGCGTGTGGGCAGAAATGTCCTGCAGCCTGTTGCTATAACAACCGCTCGCTCACATCGGCATTTGTAAAATGCGAGCCCTCATTCAGAGGGAAAAGCCCACAGGAACACAAGGGCACTCACAGAGGAAGACGCAGCTCACTGAGAGCTGAAGCTAATTTTTGCACTGTGTGGGAATGAATGTAACTGCAGTCTATTAGCAGGTTAAACAACAATGTTAAATGTTCACAGATTCCATCTCCAAAAGCTGTGGTATGGTGGAGGCCTTGAAAGAAGAATGAATGAGAGAATCAAAAGCAATTCGAAGACTGAATGCAACTCCATTTACTGATTCACAGCTTGTGCTTAAAATTTGCTGCAGAAAACGATAGTAACATTTTTCTCTGTTTAGAAGTCATAATGTTCAAATCATGCTTTCCTGTTCTCAGTAATACTCAAATCATGTTTTAATCTCTAATAACATATTACCTTTTGTTCACACTGGCCTCTGCTAAAACAATCATTTGCTGAAATGTGCTAAAACCAAAAAACATTTCTTCAAGTAAAAGATTAGATTCTGATTTCTAGGGAAACCTGAATAATGTATCAGATAAGTGAAGATGAAACCTGATTTGACTGCTTATCTAAACGCTTTCACATGCTGCAATTTCTGGAATGGCCTCAATACAAGAGTGGTTTCGAAACCATATAGATACCGGAGTCCTGAACCCTCTCAGCTTTAATGAAGACGCATGGAAATTCAAGCATCCTTCCTCTGCCCAACTATAAATAGGCACTGCGACAGAGTTGGTAGGGAGAGAGAAGAGGCATATAGCTCAGACTGCTCCATGTGTGACCCCATACAGAAAGAGAAAGGCCAGATGTGGGAGGGAGATTACACAAGGAACCACACAATGAAGGGAACGCAAATGGAGTTATCATACACTGCTATCGAGAAGAGCTGGAAACTCCTGATATGAGTGCAGTTGTACCATATTTTAAGACATTTAAAATGCACACTGATGAGTAGTATCTAGTTTACCACTGAGATGAACAATATCAGCAGAATGCCTAGAAGAGATATATTACCTAAGTGACAAATTACAGTGCCACAAGATAATAAATTCATTCAGCTCAAACGGAAAGAGCAGAATGAGGAGTAGGCAGCAGTGCATCATAATGCTACATGGCTGCTGGTCTTGTCTTTTTACGATATCTGAGTAAATAAGCTATTTAAACATCCAGATCTACTTTATTCTGGATTCTGTGGATAAAAGAAAGGGGGATTAAGATTGAGATTTCAAGAATATTGAAAATATACTTATAAAATGTGTGTCTCTTAAGTGTGTGTGTGGGCAATATCGCAAAAAGTAAAACATTTCCCACCCATATTAAAGAGGTGGTTAGTATTCTTTAACTACAAAAAATATCCACTATATGCTCAAAAAAACATTATGGCGTATCGCTATACTGATAAAACACTTTCATATTGCCTGTCTCTACTCTTCATCCTACGCTGCACATAGCAAACTAACTGAGCCAAGATATCCTGCAAGTCCTGCAAGACCAGAAATGCATAACTACGGGTAGAAAAAGTAATCTAATGACTTGTGACTGCTTCACTGAGGCGCCAAGTAATGGCACAACACAGCAAAAGTTAAACGCCCCCAATACAAAATGCAGGAGAAAATGATGCAGGCCTACCCTGACTGAAGCTTGAGCAAGCGACTTGGTGGTAGTACTGCAATGGCTGTAGTACGGAGCCCACCCATCTCCCCACCCAAAGACTGTGCTCAACTCCTGTGTCTTGATGCAATGTGTGCAAGCTCTCAGCACTGTGCCTCAACTAAACAATGCACATATCACTGTGTGCATGTATGTGTGACTGAAAAAGGATGGGGGAAAAATACACATGCAACCCTCACAAATCAAGCAATCAAACTACAATGTAGATCTTGATCTCAGGCAAAACCTTGAACCTTTACAGCCATTTGCAAAAAGAGTCCAAGTAATAAGTGGCTAGTGGTGACTGACTCTGTACAAGCCACACTTTTAGGCTGCCGTATATTATATCCATAGTGCAATCTCATCACACTCAGAGCTGCCTTTTTTTCCACTTTTGGCTCCCTAAGCAAATGATGGGCAGCAGTGAAATAAAGCAGGGCACACCCTTACTGCATAGTTGAGACTTCTCCAAGAATTCCTCCCCTAAAAGGTGGGGGTATATTATTATGGAAAATCTCATGGGACTCTCTATCGTTTGCATTACCTGCAGCGATGCCTTCTGGAGCTTTAATGTCCCAGTATTTCAGCCATACATCCACAACTGCCACGCTGTATGACTCACTGAAGAAATCTTTAGGCTAGCTATTCATTTAGCAGCTCATACAGCATTATCCGGCCCGTGGGAGAACATATAGGGTCAATATAGGGTTAATTCTGGCTGCCAGCGGTTACTTAAGGCAATGTTATCCATGAGGCTGAAGTTGGCTTCCTATTCGCCAGCTTCTTGTTGGAAATACCCCGTTCCACCTTAAACGGTAAAGCACCAGAATGTAACTGCTGCACCATTTAAGGTGGAACGGGAAATTTCAAACAAGAAGCTGGCACTATCCGACCTACACTGATATGGCCAAACCGCAAGATGAGCAATGTTTCTTGCAAGGTCATGGAAATCACCTCAAGTTATTTCAGTTGACGTCCTGTCACTTCTTAGCGTTCATTTTTATTTTCTGACACCTAGAATGTAACGTTACTCAAGGCCAAAACCAGCTAGCTGGCTATCTTAAACACATAAATACAATCGTTATATTCGGTGCAGTCGCAGATACAGCGCGCAGACAGTCACTTAAACCTGTCAGAAACACTGCTAGCATTTAGCCAGCTAGATAACGCCAGCTAGTTGGGTTACACACGTACACATAAGCTACATGCACAGGACTGAGGCGGAGTGTGTTACACACGAGTGACATGCAGCTGATTCCGTCCGTCCACCACAATACGAATCAATGAGCGCACAGCAGACGTAAGTGTCCGTCTTAAGCCAACAACGCTTGTCCAACGTACGTCCTGCCTCTACTCTACGCTACTGGATGGATCTGCTACAAGCCCCGAGGGCGGCCGTTCCTTGGGTCACCCGAAAAAGGCGAACTGTCTCCGTTCACAGGGACATCAGTCCTCGGCGCCACTTACCCACAGATCTGTAGCCCAGGACGGCAATTTTTCGAGATTTCGGCTGCGGCATCTTTTTTTTCTTCCCCTAGCAGCGACACCACACCAATATCGACATAAAGAGGGCTTTTTGGAGCCGTCGCTTTTACATTTACTCAGTCTGGTACGTAGCCTCGAAATCGTAAAAGTCCAAGAGCGGAGAAACGCGTCGATTCTTCCAAATTGTCCGAAATTCAATTAATTTAACGGAAAAGTATTCGAGCATCAGTATCCTCTCTGCGTCACTCCCCGAAGCAATCCTGCGTAAATTATTCAGGAATGTCTGCACTTGGTTGGTTGCAGGCACACTGGAAGGCGGTCTTTGCTCCTCACCTCGCATTCCTATTGGACGATGGATTCTCCGCGTTTTCATTCACAGGAAATTCATTGGATGTTTTGAGTTGTCATTGACGACAGCAGTAGTCTGCACGCACAGCTATGATGTACACATACGGCGAGGAGCTCGTTGTCTGTTTTGATGATACATTTGGCTGGGAAATGGTATGTTTTGCAAATAAACCGTTTTATTAGTGAGAAATAACGTAAAGATGCCAAAGTTTTCAGGCTTAACACATATTTCAAAATTAACCGAGAATCCCTTGAAACATTAAGGTGTCATTGAGTTCATCCGTTTTAACCCTTTGCTGGTCGCACTATTGCAATACAGGCTCGTTAGCAACGCAGCTGATGGCGGAGCTATAAATAATTAGATATTTCATGCAAAGATTTTTTTTTGAAACGCCAAAATGAACAGTAAAATGTATTACAGGAAATTACGATGCATAAAATCTCATACGTATAAGTTTTTATAGAAGCAGTCTTTGCTGACATCTACAGGACCTTCACCGCCATACAGCTTTCCATCACAACTAACTTCTCAAATTTCTAAATTTCCCAGCGATACGTTTCAAAATTAATACATAGCCTGTATTCGCTTTTTCCTTAAATGCCGTTAAGACAGCAGGTAACCCCCTATAATCACTTCTAAGTTTAAAAATCCATGACATTATGAATTTGTACGTACAAATCATGCGTTTTTCTCTGTGCACAAAACTGCTAAAATCTGCATCACTGGAGAACATTATAATACATGATCCTGCAGCAGCGCCGTCCAGATAACATGGAGAAGCACAGCAGGGAGAGGACAGCAGGTAGGAAGTGAGTGGGTCGTGCCACACCCTGACTGCGTCTCACACCGCATCATACCACACTAAGCAGCATGTCAAAAACGCTACCAGCAGATGCACGACGCATTAATTAATTCCCTGCTGCTATGTGTGTATGTGTGTGTACATGTGTCTAGTATAGTATATTAATGTGATTCTAGAGTAGAGAGTTTTTTCTCCACAGCTTTCGCCTTATTTTGAGGGAACAGTGGCTAAGAAACTTTCCATACTGTTTCAGTTTATTTCTATAAGTCAAACACGACATGCTAAACACGTGACGGCCCTCTTGGCTTCAGTTGTGATTTTTTATTTCTTCCCGTATTCAGTACCTTTACGCTACAAAATATATCTAAACCGTCAGACAGTGATCATAATAAAATACAGTAACTAAACAACAAATAAGGAAAAACAAGGGATCTGAACATTTGTTGTTATCCACTTTCTCATTTGAGCAGGCTATAAAACTATAATAATATAAAAATGAAATGCATTAAAAATTAAAAATAATAATAAATTAGAAACAAAGTACTCCAAAAGGTAGAAAATTCAGAAGGCTGTAAAAACTGTACATTTGTGAATGAAGTGTTGAGAAAATGAGGCTGTTGAGCTTAAATTCGAATAAAATCTTCAGTTCATCATTTAACCTTTCAGTACCTTTTCAATTATTATATTGTTGATTAATAATCTAGTTGTAGAAATTCTTTGTGTCACTTCACACACAGGACAAAAAAGCGTGGTCAGAGCTGCGCGGCCATTGGTCCGCTCGATCACAGAACACAACGTCACCACAAACGTCACTGGGACGACGGAGGGATTTGATTGGCTGAAGAGATCGCGCGCTGGCACGTAGCTTAGTTAAATACCCTCGGTTCCTACGCCCCTACTGACATCAGCACCCCCTGCAATCTGATACATCATTTCATAGAGAGAATATTAGATATTGATCCATGTCTAACACGCTGTTGGTCTGACTGTGGTTGATATCAAAATACCATTTTTGTCTCACGCACAAACACGTCTTATTTACTGAAGTGAGAATATAGCCAACACCTTAAAATAACAATAGAACAACTTAAATAAATAAACATCAGTTAATATTGTGTGTTGACTATCAATTCAGTGTGCATTGTCCAGTCTTAAATGAGGTCAGTGTGGTATGGTGAGGTGATTAGTATGTTGTCATTATGTGTGAAATCAAAAACAAGAAAATAAAATAATAAGAAGTGTTTCTTTAGGTGACAAATGCTTGTTACTCACATAATTAATATGTTGTTTATGATAAGATGTTTCAAAAATCTATACAGGTATATGCAAAAGTTTGAACACCCATATAACGCTTTGTTGATTTTTTAAAGTAAACAATAAGTTAACACATCTTCCACAAAGAGTAAATGAAAATATAGATTCTTTCTGCAAATTTTAGCTCACAATTTCTATTTGCTTGCTGAGTTTAACATAGTAGAAAAAATAAAACGTAAAATGTAAAGTGTGCCAAAACTTTTGCGCAAACCATATACACTCACCAAGGACTTTATTTGGAACACCATGACCAGGGATGACATACAAAAACTGCGCAGCAACAAATGAGCTATTGTCTCAAACTTTACATCTACAAGGTGGACCAACAAGGTAGGAATGTCTAATAGAGTGGACATTGAGTGGACACAGTGTTTAAAAACTCCAGCAGCACTGCGATGGCTGATCCACTCGTACCAGTGCAACACACACTAACACACCACCACCACCACCATGTCAGTGTCACTGCAGTACTGAGAATGATCGACCACCCAAATAATGCCTGCTCTGTGGTGGTCCTGTGGGGGTCCTGAACATTGAAGAACAGAGTAATTAAAGCAGAACACTGTACACAGACACTGTACACATCTACCAGAAACCCTGCAGAGTGAAAGGATCCTACAAATAGGAATATATTTAAAATGCAATGTGCAATATACACAACTCCTTTAATCAAGTGTAAGTATAAACTCTACATCCAGAGGTATCTAGACACCTTGTAATTAGTGTAATTAACCCACTGTTGACACATGTTCAATTGCACACACAGCTTGTATAATCTCCATAGAAAAATATTGCCAATAGAATGGGACACTCTGCACATATACCATGCCCAATGTATAACACCTCCAGCACTGGGCTGTGGAGCAGTGAAACTGTGTTCTCTGGAAGGATGGAGCTCCATCCAATACCTCTGCAGTGAGTTGGAGTGAAGTTTGTGATCCAGAACTAAACATCCAACATCAGTACCTGACCTCACTAATGCTTAAAATGTATTTAATGCATTAAAAGCATTTTAACTTTAAAATGAATGTGTTGGACATGTGCAGGACAAGGAAACACTGCTGTGTTTTTAACAGGGTGAAGGGTTTTGCTCCGAAATGCATTATAGACCACTTTCAAGAATTTTCTTTTTTTGTGATATATGTTGTCAGGAGTAGGCTTTACACATGCTGGAGATATCACTGTTATACAATGATTAATATCACCTTCATTAGAGAAATGAAAATATGCTTTATACATCAGCTGTTACTCTTCAAAAACACCTCGTATTTTTATATGGATATAGGCCTGCAGGATTTTGGAATGCAACTTCATTGGAAATGGCTCCATCTGCAGGAAGATCCTGAAATCACAACATGCTCCCCATCAGTGTGAAAACTGTCCCTGGCAGTTTCATTATAGTGAACTGTATTCTACCCAGCTGTAAAATGATCTCTCTCTCTCTCTCTCTCTCTCTCTCTCTCTCTCTCTCTCTCTCTCTCTCTATACACACACACACACACACACACACACATATATATATATATATATATATATATATATATATATATATATATATAAACAATGTTTTAGATAATTATTAAGTTATTATTTAAAATAATCAACATAAATATTCAGCCAAGAAATGTAGCGTTAGTTCCTTTAGAGTGCGGTATCGTTGCTAAGCATCCATTGACCGCTGAATGAGAAGAACGTTCAGTCTCCAGTCACTGTAAACTCCAGACATTTCATGAGTTTTTCTTTTTTTTCGTGTAACAGCGAACATGTGTAACATAGCACTGTTTAATGCAAAAAACATGCAGTTTATAAGTACGTCTCCCTGCTCCCTACATAGTCTAACGTTACTATGTAGGAATTTAAATACTGATTCCTGCACTCCAACAATGCAAAATATTCAGCGTGTAAGCCATTCATGTGATATTTTTTTAGACTTTTATATTGCCGTTTTTCAGTGTTTTTTCAGTAAAGAGTACTTTAATTCAAGCCTGTGATATTAATGCTGGAGTTATTTAGCATGTTTGCTAGCTATCTTTTAGTCTGTTGTCTAGCTGACCAGCCTAGTTCTAGTTAAGAAAATAGGTTTTCAGCCCCTCAGTTTAAACAAAAACGGGTTCTTCATCAGTGCACTCGGTGCTCCGTGCCATCAGCATTAGAGACAAAGATTAATCCATTAACAGCAGAAGAGTTCAGTTGTTGTGAGGCGGTCATTTTACAACGGCTTTGAACGCGGCTCAGCCATTCAGATTGTAGGACCAGAACAGGGAAAAATCATATATATATATATATATATATATATATATATATATATATATATATATATAGAGAGAGAGAGAGAGAGAGAGAGAGAGAGATTTCAGAAAAAGTGAGTTACAGGTTCTCCAGGGCTCTTAAGTAACGGCAAAGGTTCTATTTAGAGGCAACAAGTGCTTTGTATGTTGAAATGGTTCTTCAGATTGTTGGAGAATGTGTTGTACATGGTTCTATAGAGAACCTTTTTGAAAATAGTTCAACATGGCACCATAAAAGGGTTCTTCTATTGTTAAAAGCTTCACATCGTAACAATAGCAGAACGCTTTCTGGTGCTATATAGAACCCTTTTCAAAAGCCATAAACAACACATTCTCAAACAATCTAAAGAACGATTCCACCATGCAAAGAACCATTTTAGCATGAAATGGTTCTATATAGAACTTGGCTCTAAATAGAACCATTGTGAACAGAACAACTGAAAAACAAACTGAAGAACAAATTGATGAAATTAGCCCTGAACCCCCTGAAGAGCCATCTTTTTAAG